GCTAAGAAGAGAGAAAGGAACAAGACTATGTATGAAGTTTGGAGGTAAACAGGTGATCTTTTCGTTATTGGGAAGGCTGAAATTGAGATGGACTGACCAAGTATTAAACGACATCAGGACAATGGGTGCAAATGTCAACTTGGCAGAAGACAGAGAAGGGTGAAAGAGGCTGGTACATGAGGGAAGAATCGACTGAGATTTGTGGAGCCAGGGCATTAAATAAGTAAGAAATTTAATCCTTCATCTTTATGATCACAATGAACCTCAATAACATTTCATCGAATTGAAAATACATGTAGTCTGGAAAATAACTCTTAGCTGTCTTCTATCAAGGAACCTAGATACAGAATTACCTAACTGGCTTTGGAATTACTTTTGTAACTATTGTATCAGGCATTGTGTACAATTAAGTATAGTCCATTATTGATTGTACTTTGCAAGGGTTATTAATTTGTTAAATGTTTTGAGGGTCATTCATAACAATATGGAGGTTGAGACAGACGACACTTAAGGACATGAGGAATAGTACCTACTATTTCTAGAACTTGCAATTTGGTTTAAACAAAGATTGTTCTCCAATTCTTCGGATACAGCTGCATATGTAAAAATAGGTGACAATAAAAATTGGGACTGGAGAGAATAATTCTGAACACCTTTAAGTGAATTTCTGCAGAGCAGTAGAAAATGTTGGTAAACAAACTGTAGGCATCAAACTGAACCTAACTTTGCCGTATTGATTGAATGTATATATTTAAAAAGAATTTTATTTGAATATTTCCTTTATTTATTTATTTTATAAATTAATTAGTTTTAGATGATTTAAAATCTTCTGAACCCAAAGTTTCAGTCATTAAGTCAAGCAAAATTTCAGCCTACATTTTGTCACATTTATATTGCAAAGAACTTAAGCACGGTAAAATGATGTGTGTATTACTAAAATTTCACCTATTGAACACCCCACCATTAGAGTTTTTAGGAGATAATTTGAAAATAATTTACAAGTTGTAAAAGGCCCATAACCAAATAGTATATGTGATGGTCCAGAAAATTAAAAACGTTTAATATTGAACAAGGAAAAATAGTCAATACATATTTAAAATTATATCAAACCCAAACATACAAAAAGTAAACAAGTCAATTAACATTGAATCAGGTGATGATTTAAAAACCCAGTTTAGTATTACTCCTCCAACAATTTGTACCTTTGGAGTATCAGCATTTACAGAATATGAACTGGACCAGCAAGCAGGAAAAAAAGAGTGAAGCAAATAGCTCGACACAGAGGATTCAAGAACTCTAAATCAAAATATTGACTGATTTTGGAAAATACCCACAACACTTGTGTCGTACAATTTAAAATAATACTGCTCAGTTTAGTTTAAAGTTATCTTATCATGTTTTGGGCAAAAATTTATATTCCTTGGCAAAAAAATATTGTTTCCAAACTGAAAATAAATTTAACAACATTATTTCAGACCGATACAACAGCATTTAACAAAAAAGGATTTCCTAACCTCAAAAATTCATCTTATCAACAAATTTGGGTCGCTGGAATTGTACCCCCCAGAAATCTTACCCCTTAGGAAAAAAGAGAAATCTTTTTACATTAAAGCTCCGACTGTGAACACTTTCGTTGCACAAAATTAGTTGAAAGATTAGCAGTGAAACATTTTTAAAAAATCACTCAATTAAATTAAAAGTAACTTATTTTAAAAGATGCAGGTTGTGTTAGATTCCCAATAACTGACACAAACACAAGAAATATACCATGTTAGAATCCCAACTACACTAACACAAACACAAGGCACAAGCAATAACTTAATCACTTCGTACCTAACCACACCACATAGTTAAGATAATACTATTATAAAATACAAGCTGAAATGTATACTACTTTTTTGGTGTCTTATTTTTTGGATAATATGTTGTTAATTGATTGAAATTTCCATTAAAAAATGAATACAATAAAAGTATATTTAAGTTTTTAGAGATTAATCATACTAAAGTTTTTTAACTAAAAAGGGTTTTAATATAGGTATATAAATAAATCACTAAGCAAAAGCAGATTTTTTGAGGTGTAAATATATGAGGGCTACCCAGAAATTAGATTACGATTTTGTCTGTATCTGCTAGTGGCGAGGCTAGCGCGACCATCTTGGTGTTAGTTTGTTATGCAGCTCAGTCGGCATCTAGTTGTGCTAGAAAGAGGTTTCTGCTGTACTCCATTGAGTTACTGTGACTATTTAAAATGTCTGTGTTAATTGAAAATGCTGTGAACTATGAAGTGCATGCAGTTATACAGGGTGGCTGAAAAGTAACTTGCACCCCCCACTTAACTTCTTCAACCATTTGAGATATTTGAAGTCGGTTTGCGGCAACCTTCTTAGATATGAGGGGCTACAATAATTATGGTCAATTTTGAAAATTTTGCCCGTAGGGGAAGCGGGGGTAGGGGGAAGCTCAAAATTTTCAAATGACAAGTATAGTCGAGTTTGGTATCATTTTACAGGTTTTGACAAAACATAAACATTGACATAAAGAAAACCAAAATCGGCTCACTAATAACAAAATGGCGCCCTAAAACGTTTCAAATCCAAATAACCATTAGGGTGGCAAAAAATTAACTTGCACCCTCTTTAACTTTGTTACTATTTGAGATATTTGAAATCAGTTTGCGGCAACTTGTTTGGAAATGAAGGGCTACAATAATTATGGTCAGTTTTGAAAATTTTGCCCTTAGGGGTAGCGGGGGTAGGGGATAGCTCAAAATTTTTAAATAGCAAGTATAGTCGAGTTTGGTATCATTTTGTAGGTCTTGACAAATCATAACAATTAACATAAAGAAATAGAAATCGGACCATTATTAACAAAATGGCAGTTCAAAATTACTTTAAATAACCATTGTCTCAATCATTTTTAGCTGCCATTTTGTTATTAATGGTCCGATTTCTTTTTTCTTTATGTTATGACAGGACCTGTAAAATGATACCAAATTCGACTATACTTGCTATTGGAAGATTTTGAGCTACCCCCTACCCCCGCTACCCTTAAGGGCAAAATTTTCAAAACTGACCATAATTATTGTAGCCCTTCATATCCAAACAAGTTGCCGCAAACCGATTTCAAATATCTCAAATAGTAACAAAGTTAAAGAGGGTGCAAGTTAATTTTTTTGCCACCCTCATGGTTATTTGGATTTGAAACTTTTTAGGACGCCATTTTGTTATTAGTGAGCCGATTTTGGTTTTCTTTATGTCAATGTTTATGTTTTGTCAAGACCTGTAAAATGATACCAAACTCGACTATACTTGTCATTTGAAAATTTTTAGCTACCCCCTACCCCCGCTTCCCCTAAGGGCAAAATTTTCAAAATTGACCAAATTATATTAGCCCCTCATATCTAAGAAGGTTGCCGCAAACCGATTTCAAATATCTCAAATGGTTGAAAAGTTAAGTGGGGGTGCAAGTTACTTTTCAGCCACCCTGTATGGTTTTTGACTGCAAAAAACTGTAAACCGGTAAAAATCTATCAGCAACTTTGTAAGTTTATGGGGAAAACATTATTACTGAAGGAGTTTTGTCATCAAATTAAAAAATGGCCGAAACTAAGTTCATGACGAAGATCGAAGTGGAAGACCCAGCATTGTGACTGACAAACTTGTCGAAAAAGTCTATTCCGATGTCCGTAAAACTCGAAAGTTCACAATAACAGAACTCTCTATGGGTTTTCCACAAATTTTGCGAAGTTAGTTGCACGATATCATAACCTAAAAGCTTGGTTACCGTACCAAACTGTAACCAAAGAGTCCATTAAATTTTTTTGCACACATTTCACAGATCGCAGCATTTTGAATTAACACAGACATTTTAAACTGTCACAGTAACTCAATGGAGTACAGCAGAAACCTCTTACTAGCACGGCTAGATGCCGTCTGAGCTGCATAACGAACTATCACCAAGATGGTCGTGCTAGCCCCGCCCCTAGCGGATAAAGACAAAAACGTAATCTACTTTCTGGATAGCCCTCGTACTTATCATTTCTACATTCTCTGTTTTACAGAATATTACAAGGGCTATTCAGAAAGTAGAAAAACGCCGTTTGATGCTGATAGGCACACTTTCTAGTACAGACGTGTTCAATGATTGTCCAGCCATCGCAGTGGATAAGTCGTGAACGACCAGTGCTGTTGTCGCAATTTTATAGGTAAAAAAATGTGAGGTATTTGAAATATCACTAGTTGAGGGATGCGGTCTGGGTCTTTAAACTTAAATTGTATAGAAATTTATTGTCAAGGGTATGAAGTGTACAAAAAATAAATGAATGCTCTGTCTGGAAATGCTGCATTCAGTTTCATTCAAAACAACAAAACTAAAGTTGATATTCGAAATTTTGTTTTTGAATGACAATGCCCGACCTCTCACGTCAAATCACACACAAAATCTCATTCATTCAAATGGGAGATTTTCTCTTAACCACACTATGATTGCTCGGAGTGACTTTCACTTAACCCAAAATAAAGGCTTGGTTAGCAGCACAGCGCTTTGATTACAACGAGGAGCTCCAATCGTTGTCACCAGGTGGCTGAGTCGTAGGCGGCAGAGGAACAACAAAGGAATTTCAAAGGCCATCCATCGCTTTGAAAAGTGCCTCAATTATTTGTTTGGTGACTGAGGAGAAAAGTAGTATTTTAGGTGCTCTTTCAAATGTATATAACACCTTTTTACTGTACAAACTTTTTATTTTATTCAAAACGTTCTATTTACTTTCTCAATAGCCCTCATATTTTAACACGATAAATTGATGTGTGAAAACTAGATGTATTCAAGTCAAACACATAACAACTGAAGTATTTAAGCAGGCATAAAATATAACTCTGCAAACAAAAACTGCCAGGAATTTCCGTGAAAATTCCAAACAAATTTTGAAGGCTTAGAATGAACTAGGAGTTTAATCCAGAAAAGAGGGTTTAGTTTTCAGCTTGTTGCTATCGGATAGTAACCTTGGGCGCGTCTGGTTCAGAGTCGCTAGGCTTGACTTCCCCTTCCCCCTCGTCCACAATCTTGGTCTCCCCCACCACCACCTCCGGTTGGCTGTCCGCAACCTCCACGCCCGCCTACATACACTCACATACAGTTACTGTCATATCACCTGACACTTCTCACCTCCCATCTGCCGCATCCCTGAAATTCTATTATTCTGAATAATGAAATTAATGAATGGTGTGCATGATTATCTATCACAAAAACTGTCTTTTGGTTGATTTTAAATTTGTAATTCAACTGCTACCAGAAAGACTTTATGAACTATTAATGTGTTACATTTATAAATAAATCTATGAAAATGTCTATTTATTGGTACACAATGTACCGTTGTTCTTTTTAGGCAAACCTGCAGGAAACTTTTTGTTGTTGTATTGGTAAGCTACTAGAACAAATTAATTGAAAAAATATTATAATTGATAAATCAGGCAATTATTGTGTTAAAGTTTTTATTTTACTGCTTGCATCATAAAAAACCCATAACAGATCAGGACCATTCAGTCTGTCAGGAAAATGCCGAACTTAGTTTTCAAATGGAGGACCAGACTTCAGAACCCAGTATTTGCTTAACAGCTATATGATAGTGTATGACCACCTTCTGCTGAGGTATGTCTCAATTGAATTCAAAGTCCCTCAGAAACTTTGAGGCAGATGTGACCAGGTAACTAAGGTAAGCATACAGTTCACAGTTCACAGTGGTCAGTTAATACAGTTAACTAACCACATGTCTCAATTCCATTTTTGAGTTTAGTGAATTTGATGTGATTCCAAAAATTGCTGGATCCCTTTAAACGGGCCCTTCAATTTAAGTAGGGGAAAAAGTGCCACAGGCTTAATTTTTATAATTCTTTTATCCGAAAATGCAAATCTTCCTAAATTTTAAACAATCTTAAGCTTCAGGAAAGTTGAGGCCAATACAAATTTACCTATATTAGTCTTTATAAATTCCACACAATAGGTTGTTTGTGTATCATATATCTCAAGTTAAAAGTTAGTTACTTAATTATTTTTTTACATCCTTTTGTGAACATGGATGCTTCTCATAACGTTTCTTAAACAGAGAACTATACAACTTAGATCCACAATTAAGTTTTAACAATAGACCAGTTTTTTTTTTGTTTTTTTTTTTTTACTGTACAAAGAATCGAAAGAAAATCGCTACAACATAGCGACAAAAACATGATAGCACTGATTGTAAAAGTGTTTAGTGAACCAGTTCCATATCTTGTTGCACAGTATTCTAAATCTAGATTGTAACCTTGACTACAATGACACGTGCAAGGTAGAGCCGATGTTTCTGAAGTCTCAGCCTCAAAAAAGATCAAATGATGAGTTGTTGAAATGTTAGCCGGTGGCAATAGCATGTTGAGGATGTGCACAACAATTATTATTGTTATGATTTTAGTTTTTTACATGGCAGAAAAAAGGTTTTCAATCTCTAATGCAGTAATCAGATGGCTTGCAAAGAGTGGGATTTATCAAACAACAGCAATTGCTGACTCTATAGAAAATGGTGATTATCAGGAGTGTGGCCAATGGTTTTGATGTCTGTTGAGACAACCAAAGTAGTTGATTGCACAGATTCATTCAGAGTAGATTGCAAGAATGAATGCCAATCTTATATCTTTAGAGACTAACTAAATGCTCTTGAATATCAATTAAAAGTTGTTTGAAATTTCCCTGATCATGTACGCTGACCTTTTTTTTAATAACAATAAGACCGTGGTTTATACCGTTCCTTTTCAAAATATGTTAAATATGTTACTGTTGTAAAATATGAAAAATACATATATTTTAACTATTTTAAGAAGAGTAACAGAACTACATGTGGTGGCAAGCAACTATCAGAGGAATTTATAGATCAAAGTAAAATATTTTATGAGATACCTAACCACATGTTTTATGAAATACCTAATCACTGTAATGCATTCTGTTTTGTCATAGTACATTATTTAAATTTACTTGTTATACATAATTTGCCTCCAGGATTGATTTATTGACATAAAATGAGGTTGTTAGTAACCTCATTTTATGTTTACTTGTTAGTTTTAACTGTACAACACATTGTATTTGGAGTATTATATTAAAAAAAGAAAAATGTTGTAAATGAAAAATCTTGAATCTATTTTGGTACAAATATGTCCATTTCTTAAATGAATACAAAAATACTTACTTTAGGCGAATAAGTTTAAGAAATTCAAATCAATTGTCAATTGTGATTAGGTTTTAAATTAGTAATAATGAAAAAATTTGTATGTATTATTTTTTTAATAATGGTAATGAATGCGATGAAACTGTTGTGAGTTAAAAACATTGGACAATGAAGGCTTAAATGTTATAAACTAGCATTAATGTTTAGAGAAATTGTGTTGATCTGCTTCAAAATTGAAAAAAAAACACATTAAAAACATAATTTGTAAATTTTGAAACATATCAATGGAAATGGTAAACATATTAGTAAGAAAATACAAATCGTCTATGTTCTAGAATAGGATGGCTGCAAGAAAAATGTATCCAAGAAATAACCAAAAGGTGTTAATTTAAAATTAATAAAATGCAGAGCAACTTGTAGAAAAATGTATTCCTACCTTGTGTCTTCAAATCTCACCTTTCTCTGAAAGAAACAACTTAGAAAAATTGATACTACCAATTACACACACATCAAACTGCTAAATAGAATAATTCTTTCAAGAAAAGGTTATCAACGTATCCTCAGATTAAATAGCATCCTTCTCTTAGAATCTAAAAGACAGAACATGTTATGTAACATATGATCCAGGTTCATGCTGAAGCCCTGTTTAAGTTAACAGGTGAAATTAGTGGTTAAATTAGTTAGTAAGATTTCTTTTCAGACAACCAACGACATGATTTGTAGGCGCCACACAAATCACATCGACAATTGAAAGAAAAGAAAGGGACAGCAGCCAAAGGAAGTCAGGCAGAATTGTTAGTTGTTAAAATACAATAATGTCATGAATATTAAACGGTATTCTAACTAGCCTACAAAACTATTAAATACAAAAGGGTATAATATGTACTGTTGAGACATACAAAGGAAATAAAGTATTAGGCTCAGCAGTACAAACTAAACTCTAACTCAAGTTAGATCTAATCAGCAAGTAAAGTACCTCATCGTCTCGTTTACGCAAGTCGGCATGAACCTCCTCCATCTCTTCTTGGGCCCCACCAGGAGGCATGTGGTAGCCTTCCCACAACATCTTGACACCAAATATGGCAAACAGCGCAGTAGAGATGTAGTAGACGATGTTGCGAGGGATCACAGTTGCCAGCCAACCAAACAGCACTGAAACAATCATTATACGCTAGTTAGATTTGAAATAGGTAGGGAGGCTCCAAACTAGACGCTAGTGGTATTTAATTAATTCAACATCTATAATATGAATGTACCAAATAACACATGCATCAGTAGTGGGGAAGAGTTCTTGTGCATGCAAATTCATCTTACCACTTTAATCGACATGATCTATGTTCAATCTTGTAATCAAATGACATATGGAATATCTTTCCGACAGCCTAAATTTCAATTCAAGATGGCGTATTATATGGATTGAAATATAGTTTGGGAATGAACACGCTTTTATTTTAAAAGCTCTCTAAACATTCTAAAACTAATTTGGTTCCAATAATTGTGTGTTTTTTTTTCCTCTTAACATGTAAGAGCTTTGCAATCGAGGAGGGAAAATTAATTTTTAACTATTATTTAGAAGTTAAAATCACATGTGAAAAAGACTAATTTACGGATTTTCAATATGATTTTGTAAATATTTGAAGAAACAATTACGAAGTGTCAGTTCATCCAGTGCATAGGTTGGATGTTTGTGAATATTTTACAGTTCATTTCAACTAGATAAACACTTTAATAATGCCACGAGGTTCTATTTTGTAGGACCATGTTTACACGGTAACCTGCAGGCAGGTAGAACCCACTTAAACACAATTTATACTGAATAAGTTTTAAAACTATACTGTACTACAAAAGTACTAGAAGTTAGCCTAGTATTTAAACAAATTTGCAATTGCTAATGATTAAAACTCTTTTATAAATCAAATAAGGACTTAATATCCTAGCAGTTTTTAATACTGCTAAGGAGCAATAGTAAAAAGTTTGCATAGTGGTACCTTTTTAACATTTTTATGACAAATTCTAAAACAACTGAATCAGTTACGTTACACCAGTTCTTAAATTAACACTAAAAAAATTCCTGACAAAAAAAGTACGAACAACTGGAATTTTTAATGTCAACGTATGTATATATACATGATACTAATTTTTGTAAAAAGGTGGTTTGTTATAACTTTCTATGTAAACAACATTTAATGTGATATTAAGAATCATTATGTATTTGACTGTGTAATGTTTTAATCCTACAAAAAACCCACAAAATATTCTTAGACTTGATTATGTAACCATAATTTCCAAAATAGGGATTTGTTTAAGATTTAAAAATATTCAATAGTAATCAAGTAATCAAGAATGATAAATTGTAACAATGTACTAATTATATTCCTAAGAGTTATATCGTTAGTTACTCCTTTTAGAAAAATTTCTAAATTTAATATTTTTTCTCAGATTTATTTCAAACAATATATCTAAATACTTAATACAATGAAGGATTCTCTGTGAAATCCTCTTTTACTCTGTTCTACTTGAAAATTCTTTTCCATTGAGGTATAATTTTAAAGCTTATGTAGAGCAGGGACTAATTGTAACAAAAAAGGTAGGTTCCTTTAGGGATTCAGGGACTTAGGGAATATTTTTAATTTTCTAACTTTGCAAAATGTTGCAATGTAAAAAAAAAAACTAACGCGTCCAAACCCTTTTTGCTGGGACGCCATTATGAACCGCCAATTGAACTCCAAATAAGCTTAAGTACTTCAAACATAAAAAAATAATAGCCCAACTATTTTTCTTAAAGTTTCTAAATAACTCAAGTTTCTCTCATGTGAGAACTTTTTAGGCTTGTCGCCAATATTATATTATTATTGATTCAATAAAAGATAATTTATGAACTGATAATTACATATCAAAAAAAGAACATTGTTCAACAAGAATGGATTAGAGCTTGAATTAATGTGCATTGTTGATTGTTGGTAGGCATTTGCTTACCAACAATTATCAATCAATCAATTATTTAAGATGGGGACGCCACTATGTGCGTATTTTAACCCAAATATGAGTGAAGGATGAGTGTAGGATGAGTGGCGCGATCTTGTAGTCTTGTTAACAACAACCTTCTAAATTAAATCATAACAAATAATTATTTTTCTGGTTATATACTAAAGTAAATCAAAATAAACTTTTCTTGAATGTTAAATTTGTCCATCTACAAAGAAATCTTTTAAAGGATAAAGGGGGACGACTCTTGAATCTGTCTAAAATGTGCAATTAGCACATGTCTACTCAATTTTACGTAAATTCATCAACTAAGATCATGACTGTTAAATGTAAGTTTCATACACAGACAAAACGCCCTTGAGTAACAAAAGGTGATTTACAATTGAAGCATCTGAAAGATACCTTCCAGCCAATCAAGCAGCGAGACAGAGACAAGACTATTATGAAAGTGACCCAATTATAAACAGTTCTTGACCTTCATGGTCTCCAGTTCCTGCAGCTGATAATGACCAAGACCACGGTCACTACAGCCATTCATGGATGAACACTCCATGGTCCCTTCCGGGATTCTTAACCTAGAGTCTACCTAACCAAAGCACGAATCATTTAGAGGTTAAAATTTTGAATTTGTAACACATTATCTTTCTACTAGATGTACGGAGATGATTTTTTGTCATTGATCATAGGTTCTTAATGAAATTCAAAGGTTTGGAATGTTTTTCAATTGAAGGCCGTGTTTTAATTATAAACCTTTTTAAGATAGTCAAATTTACTATTTTTTTATTTTTGTACAATTTGGAGCACAAAAATTGAACAATAAAGTGATGGAAAATTTCACGTAAGGGCTGAAGTCTGAAAGGATGCACAAGGCAATCATTTAATAGATATAGGTTATAATATGTAAACAATATATCACAGCAGTATTGTTTTATAACATTAGTACCGTATTGATAGTGCCTTGATAAAAATTCTTTTGTCAACCTTTAACAAATGTGTCTGAATAAAAATATACCCACCGAGTAAGCTATAATATTGTGTATTAATTCATTTTTAATTTTAACCTCTGACTGAATCACCCTTTATAATTATGTATTGTTCTGTACTAATTTTAAAATCTGTTACAAGTTATCTTATGAGCATTAGGGTCAAGAAAAAAATAGCCTTAAGTATTAATATCTTTAAGATAAGCTTGAAAACAATCTATTTATAAAATGTCCATGGAAATAATCCTTAACAAAGCATGTGTTAGTCAATAACCAGGATTGCCATTTGCTATAAACATGAATCAAGCACTTTCTAATTCCATACAAAAAGGTCATATTTAGAACTTTATATTTGGTTGGTATAAACAAAGTCCCTCTAATGTGCAATTCCCACCTTCTTTGTTAAGTAAGAGTTATAAATAATGTGTATATTTTGTACTAATGACTAAAAGATTTTGATAGTTTTTCAAGTCTAGTTTTGAATTGATCGAAAGGTAAGACCCTGGAAAACTCTTTTGACCAATATATGCAAATTTGATTAAATCAAATAATAAATAAAACATTTTTTTAATAAACTTCTATGAACAGTAATATATTGTTGTGCAAATATGTGGAGATAACTAGTAGAAGATACCAAGAAAATATTATTTTAAATTTAAATGTTTATATTATAGTTGAAAGGCAACAACAAAAATGCAGCAAAAAAGTTTATGTAGTAATAAGTAAATTAACGTCCAACCCACAGCACTGAAAGTAGCGTTTGGCACCTGGCCCGCTAAATAAACACTATTTTGTACCTACTTTGAATGGCATTACAAAAACAGCTGATGATTGCTTAGCGTGGCAAAAATATGAAGTTGGGTAGATAGGCATGTAGTATAAATGTGGGTTCATTACAAACAGTTGATTAATCTGGCAAGACAAATCAGCCAAGACAAGCTATGAAATGACAACAATATGGAAGTCAGATAACAATCATGATACAGTTTAGCAACTACTAATTTCAATTACTTTTCATTACTAAAAACTTGATTTAATAGATGAATAACAAAACGACTAAAATGGTTAAGCTGGACCAAGATAGTACATTTTGGCAAGGTTACAATTAGACAGGTTATTTGTGGGTCAAGTGAAAGCAAACTGTAAATTCAAGGATTAACTCAAATATATTCATTCCTCAGTAAGCCTAAATGTTCTAAATAGGAATGGATTTTAAGAAAAATAAATATTAACACTGAGTTGGACCCTACATCCGAATAACATTTTTCTTACACTATTATTGTATAGAACCGTGCACGTCTGCATAATTATTTTGTTTTTCCTTGAATATGATAATTATTCTTTATTTCTCATGAAAATGATATTGGATCATTATGAGCTTGAATTGTATATATAAGGTTAATAATCTATAATCATGGTTGTATCAATTACATGGGCATACTTAAATTAAAAGTGGTGAAATTTGGAATTTTAATCGACAAAAACTAGAGTTTTATAACTTTTATTGAACAATACAACACAATGAAGTATTATCCTTTTTAGCGAATTTCCCATATAGGGAATAAGCTATTACCGTAGTACTCATGGTAAGACCTGGACCCGAGACCGATCTAATTTTTCATTTTGAGGTCCCTTGAGGCCAAAAACACCATCCGTTCAAATTCATATATATATATATATATATTTATATATTATTTTCTTGCATTTTTAGGGCTACTAATATAATAAAATTAAAACATATATAACAAAGTACCCTTTTAGTACACAAACAATATATATATATATGTGTCCGTTAGCGCGATAACTCGAGCAAAAATTATCCAATTTTGATGAAATTTGGTATAAACGTGTAAACCTACGTTTATTCGAACGAGTTCGCGATCCAGCATAATCGGACCATGGGAACGGGGCATTATAGGGGGTTTTATGGGGTAAAAATGGGTTTTTCCCATTTTTGAACCTAAAATCAAAAAATTTTGCGATTTCTTTCTAAAACATTTTGTAGAGCTTAAAAAAAGAAATAATTTAGTATATTGAAGCGCTGTTGTATGCCTAACAGTCACGAAGAAAATTCAAAAATAGTGTAATTTAAAATTCCCATGTTATTCTTATGGAGAAAATGAAAATTGTTGTAGTTACTTGTTTATGGGTATATATTGATAAAATTTGGCAAATTTATTTATT